GATGCGGAGCATCTTTCTAAAAATGATTGTGTAATATCAGGATTGGGCCGGGCCCCAGCTCCCAAGTCCATGACCTATTGCAAATTTGCATGTGGTGCTTGGGATTCGTGCTGCCAAGTAACTAAGAACCCGTTGGTCGGGAAAATGGACTTGAGCCAGTCATCTGCTGTTGTGGGGCTGTAACGTAGGCTGACACCATAATGGGCGGGAGGGGGACGTGAAGGTTGATTTCAAGATACTGAATAAAGCCAGATGGCCCAAAGGAAGAGTGCTCAGCAGTGGTACCTTTTACGGGAGGGAGCTTCTAAAACAGACTGTTCTGCTTTGCTATTTTAAGGGATGGTTATAGCTTGTCCGTTTAGAGTAAAAACAAAGTCTCTCTCTAGTGGAAAATGTGGCGGTGGCGTTGTATTGCCCTCTGGGGGGAGGGGGGGAAGAACTAGAACTATAAAAATATAATTATTACAATCCATGAAAAGTACAGGCTGCCCACGACTGTCCAATTAAGGTGCCCACTTGGTTTTCCCAGCAGCCACAAAGAAGTTGTGGAGAAGCAGGTTAGAGAGCCCTTTCTAAGGTGGATGGGCTCCGGTAATAGGAATTCTCTCTGGCACCGTCTGGTAAATAATGCCTTCGAATTGGCCCAGATCCTCTGCTCGTATAAATCAGTCAGTGGAGCGACGGCGCTTTGTTCCAGCGGAGAACTTGGCCCTTTATTCTTCTCTCCTTGCGTTCACCTAGCACCAGCCTCCTCTGGCTTCCTCCGTTAAACCAGGACACTCGTGCAGCAGCACCTGCATCTTGCCATCTCCCCACGCCATCGCCTATGAAAACACATTCCTTCCATTGCCCAACCTCTACTCCTACTTAGCTCTGAATTATTTTGATAGGTTGTTCTTACTTCCCACACATGTACAAATTAAAGCTGCAACAGGAAGAACTCCCTAGGTTGACAGGTGTGCATACACCTTGGAAATAGATCCTGTCTTCCTTTCTGTCTGTCTGTGTTCCCCCCCCCCAGCCCTGCTTAGAAATCACATTCTGCTTCTGATGTCTCCATCCTCTGACCTCTGCCTTTCCGCAGCAACGGGATGTGGTGGTGGAAGATTGGGACACTAGAGTGAAGAAATAAAAACCTCACCTCCAGGCCAAACACTACCCTTGCACCCCCATGGAAGTCACTGGGCTTAAACAAGGGCAGAATCTGACATGAGACCCTCTATACGAAGGTGTCCATTTTGGTTTCAGTTTGCAGGGCTTCTAAGCCTCCTTCTCCTTCGCACCCCCAACTTTGAGTTTGAAGGACTCCAGTGGAACTGCCCCTCCTTTGGGGGGGTTGAAATCATGCAATTGTGGCCTCTTTCGAAAGCAGTTGGTTTCCCCTTCTCCCCCAGGGTTGTGACCCACTGGGTAGAGCAATGGACTCCAACTGAGGAGACCTGGGTTGTTCCTGGCTCTGCCAATGGCCTGCTGGGCGACTTGGATAAGTAATTTCACCTCTCTGCCACAGTTTCCCCATCTCTACAGTGGGGATAATTATGATGATGATCCTGACCTTTTTGTCACAAGATTGTGTAGACTCGCTCTGTAACATACTATGTGGGAAGAGGCTCCAAGATTTGCCCAACTAGCGTGCTCTGGAGGGAAGTGGGAGATGAAAGGTAGACTAAAAAGGACAAAAGAGGCAACGTGAGTCACTGTGGTGACTTGAAGTCTTCAGCAGATCTGCATGGCATGCCCATGGCTCTGCCACTCAGTCATAGACCCTTTGCAAACTAGTGGCCTTTGATTCCCAGCCTCACTTGCCATCGCACTCTGGGTCAAATCCTACCCCTGGAAGGGCCAGAAGAGCTTAAACTGTGGCTCTACTGTGGAGTGGAGGCCAAACACCATATAGGCCAGTGCTTCTCAAATGCGGCCACTGTGGCCACATGCAGCCACCAGGGGCTTTTCTTCTGGCCACAGCCAAGGCTGTGATTGGGAGGGGTGGGGAGGGCAAAGTAGTTCCTGCTATCCTGGATGCACCGCCTTAGTGGTGGTTGCTGGGGCTGCCAGCAGGGGTTGCCCCCTTCCGGAGTCACCTGGGGCACAACACTGGAGGAACAGGCAGCTGGCGAGTCCCCCACCTTCCCAGGGGCAGCGGGCTCCAGCTTTGGGCTCCGGCTGCAGAACTTTGGGCTCTGGCCTCAGGGCTTCGGGCTCCAGCTCTCGCTAACTCCCCCACCCCATCTCCCCTGGCCCTCCCCCTGGGCTTAATTTGTCCCCAGGCTGGCCAGGGCTGAGCAAAAAGTCTGCTTTGAGAAGTGATACTTGTATGTTTGCGAATATCCCCTCCCAAAGCAGACTTACTAGCGAGCAATAAATAAATGACAATGATTTCGATGTGCATATTTATTTGATTTTTCCCTAAAGCTAATTAAATGTTTTAAGGAAAAAGGGAGAGAGCGGCCACCAGGCAGAGTTGGTGGCCACACTCTGAGGCCACTGAAAATTTTGTCCTGAGAACCCCTGGTATAGGCCCTGTGCATCCCGCATCCCACTGAGATCTGTAGTGGGCTTCTTTGTGCTATGGGATAGGAATGGAGGTTCTCATCATGATGGGTCTTTCCACATGACCGCAATGTGCATAGAGAACAAGTAGCCAGCTCCATTAATATGTCTCTTGTATGTAGCTACCCACTTCTGGATTAAAGGCAAGGCCTTTGTTCCTACCCCACTCAACTTCCTCGTAGTTCCTGCTATTTGGGATCACTCAGACTGAGGCTTGGACCCATGGGCCTCTTACACCAACTGGATTTTGAGACAACACCATTGAGGTCTAAGGAGTACCATATACTGTATAATTGGGAGGGAATCTGACCCTGCACAGGTAACGACATATAGCCTAGTGACATGCAGAATTGCTTCTGAAGGCTCTAGGTTTTTAACAACTTGGTCCTTGCCTGTAGCATTGACTATGGGAATTATTAACCCCATGCGCTGAAAAATGCTGATTTGGGTTGACCGAAACATTTTGCCAATTGGTGTCTCTTTTTTGGAAAATTGCTTCAAGAAAGGGGGCAGGTTCAGAAATCTTGAAATGGTCCATTTAGTCCTTTCCACAACCCAGCCCAGGGGTTAACGAGTTTCCAATTCCGACTCCAGAGCGGGGATTCAAACTGGGTCTTGCATCCCAGGTGAATGCCTTACTCAAGAGCCCAGTAGTTATGGGGGTGGGGGACATCTCCTCCTTCTCCATTTTGTTAATGGTGCCTACTTCCCCTGTGAATCTAGCCCTCTGCTTCCTTCCCCCAAATTTCTGGTTTCAGCTTGACTTGAAGCAAACTTTTTTTTAACTGCCAGTGAATCAAAAAATCAGTTATTTGCCCAGCTCTGCAACTGACCGTGAGATCATTGTGTTCACATACACGAATGGATTCCATCCTTTCCCATCTGACCCTCTCCTTTTCGAGACGCAAGAACAAAGGGGCGTCCTGGGGTTTCATAGCAAATTACAGCATGGTTCATTAAACCTGCGCTTGGCCAGTAAGCAGTGATACTTTGTGAGAACATATGCGCTCATGACCTCTTGCTGTAAGTTCTGGCAGCTCTGTGGATGAGCTGTCGACCTCTAAAGGTCTAAAATAGGATCATGAACTGGAGGGAACCCTCTGACGTTAGCTGTATGCAAAGGTGTTCTGTTGACGTACTCACCTGACCGGTGTCTGTATCCTATTGGCATCTGCTCGCTGGAGTCTGAACTGCTCAGCTGTGTTTCCATAGGTGCTGCCCTGCTAATGCGGGTTCTGTGCCCTCATGATAGGGACCCTGTGCTTTCTGGAGAAGGAAGGTTGAGGCAGAATTCCAGTCGTGAAGTTTGGAGTGGCCTCAGCATGGAGCGTAATGACCGCTGTGAGGTTCTAAAGGGCTACAGATTTGACATCTCCTGCTTCCTCTCTTACCCTGCTTCAAAACACAGTAACTTGTTCTCCGTATACTCATCCTGAGAACAGGACATTGCGCTAGGTCTTAAATCCCTGCAGACCCTCATGCCTACCAGTAGGACAGTGTGTCGTATGGTCTGAAACCTAGTGAGCTGCTTCTCTGGTGTTCCCAGATGCTGCCAATTTGGGCTGTCTGTCTCAAAATGGGCATTGTCGCACTAAAATTACGGTCAGTGACACATCTGAAATTGGCACTGTAGGCTCAAACTTTTTTGAAGTGTAGCCCTCCACTCCTGTGGGTGCTCCCCCTCTATTCATGATTGCTTATCTGCTTGTGATTAGATGGTGGAAAGTGTTTAGCTGTCTTTAATGCAATGTAGTTACTGGAAATGGAGGAAAGCCTGCACACCGTGACCAAGTGATGTGCAAACCACTGGTGGTCTATGGACCACCACTGTAGAAAAACTGAACTCTGACCCAACAGAGGGCTACTAGAGGTATGAATCTATGACTTGTAACAAAGGATTACATTTAACCCACCCAAATGAAGAGTCTTAGTAATACTTTCTTTGCTTAGCGATTGGTAGCTTTTGGTAACTTACCTTGGAAGGGCAAATGGTAACAATGATAAGCAAGGTGAACGTTATATTAATCATGAACACAAGAATGATCCCACTGCAATATACAACCCCCTGATTCATCCCAGCTTCAAAAAATCTACTTGTGCAAATATAATGGGTAACAATAAACTCCAGGTTAGTACCACAGGATCCCTAACCACTTCAGATATTAACTAGCTAAGCATTGCAACTCCCCTGGGAGGCCAGGGAAACTGAGATACAGAAGTTAAATGACTTGGCTAAAATCCGTGAGACAGAACCAGGAAAAGAACTGTACACGCCCCCCCCCCCCCCCCCCCCCCCCCCCGTGGTTCCTGCTCCAGCCAGGAGATCGCTTTTTGTATTGCCATGATTTCCTGGTTTCACAGGGTAGCCTGTACACTGTCTGTTTGCTCTGTGGTTAAATTTCTCCTGCTCCCATAAGTGACTCTCTTAAGCTTCGTTCTTCTATTTGCAGGTCATCAAAGCTGGTGTGGAGACTACTTGTAAGTGCCATGGCGTGTCCGGATCCTGCACTGTCCGAACGTGTTGGCGGCAGCTCTCTCCGTTCCATGAGATCGGCAAGCAGCTGAAGCAGAAATATGAGACGTCACTCAAAGTGGGCAGCACCACCAACGAGGCCACAGGGGAAGGGGACATCTCGCCACCCAAGAAATCCACCCCTGGCCACAGCGATCAAATCCCAAGGACTACAGATCTTGTCTACATTGACGATTCCCCTAGTTTCTGTCTGATGAGCAGGTATTCGCCTGGGACTTCAGGAAGGAAATGTTACAAGGACAAGAATTGCGAGAGCATTTGCTGCGGCCGAGGTCACAACACACAGAGCAGGGTGGTCACACGGCCGTGCCAGTGCCAGGTTCGCTGGTGCTGCTACGTAGAGTGCAAGCAGTGTACTCAAAGAGAAGAAGTTTATACCTGCAAAGACTAATGCATGCTCTGCCTAATGGAGATCCTCGGTGGTGGGAGATTATGATCTATGAGAACTACACATGGAGACAAACAGGGTTTGACTGACATTCTAGGATCTGAAAGCTATGTTGAGACATAAGCACTTTGTAGGGTACAGGTGACCCAGCTGTGTTGCTGTTCTTTTGTTTTTTTTTCTGTAGACTGAATTTTAACCATGAGGTCCAACCGTGTGGAAATAAGTGCCTGTCCTATTGGGGTTAGGTACCAGTAGACCCTCACCAAAGCCGTCCATGAACCCATCAGCTTGATAGATCACTCACTTATCTTGAGGTTTTGATTATTTCACCAAAACTCCTGGAAATCTACCTGACTGTCCAGACAGCCACGCAAATGAACGAGATAAACTGACTTAGGATCTTTTTGCCTTGAAACGTTGTGGTCAAGGTAATTGTGGTGCCCTAAAGATAGGGGGTGGGTTAAGCGTAGAGAGTACCAATTGTTCCTCTAGTGGAATTTCTGCAGATCTAGCATAAAAAGCTCTGACCAAGAGCTACCCTCAAAAGTGGGTCTATCCGTGTCCTTTTTTTTTTTTTGATCCGTGAACATAGCTTCAGAAATGTTGGGGTCCCTCCAGCTTGCCATGTTGCAGACAACAAAAAGATTGGGAAGCGTTCAGACACACCCGCCCCCTTCAGCCTGATTGGACACTCCTCTTCACATGTTCTTCAGATGCAGGTTTTTTAGCACGATCACTGTCTTAATTTAAAAAATAAAACCACTAGAAGACCTTTCACTTTTCGTTTTGTATAGGGTTAATTTCTTTCATCTCTTGTTGATTAGAATCACCCTGTGGCAGCTGCTTCAAAAACCCAAACAAGGACTCTTTAGCCTTATCTAGGCTGAATTCGAAAGTGTATTTTTTTTTTTTTTGATAGTTGGCTTATGACCATATCAATTCCGTTGCCTCTCAGAAGGCAAGGCTGACTTGATGCTTGCGTTGAATAGCAGCCATTCTGGACTGGATTGGACCTTTTTTGGAGGAAAAGTTTTTATTTTACTAGTCAGAATTCCATTTATTCTAGAACATGGCACAAGCTATATGTAGACCCTATGACCTTAAGCTTTTTTTAACCACTAGATTGATAACCATATTTTTAAAGGTAACACACTATGGGATTCCAAATGCCTAGTTAACATATGGTTCTACCCAAGGGTGGACAAAGAAAGAAAAGCCAAATGCAATGGCAGAGAGCTCCAATGCTGTGAACTAGATGACAACCGCCATTTTTTTTTTTTTTTTAAAGAGGATATTTACAACGTAGTACTTTGTGGCAATGTTCTTCGGTCATATAACACTGCTGGGATCAGAAGCGGCTGGTAAATGCCTTAACGAAGCTTTCTAAGGAAACACTGGAGAGTGGAGGGCATGGGGGGGGGGTTAGCAGTCTTTGATTGTCTAGTAGTAGTGATTGTCACTAGTTTATAACCCATATCTGGCTTTCAAGGGAGGAAGGCTGACTGGCAATTTTTTTTCTCGTTTTCAAGGAAAAGTAGATGGTTGCGTAACGAGCCATATGACCTTCCAAGAGGGACTATCATTGGAGCATTTTCTCAAATAGTAGCCACTAATATTTAAGCTGTTCATGTGCATCTACTGGGAGGGGATCTCTTTTTTTCCTAATCAACAGATAACTGCAGTCCAGCCTGGCCTGGGTGGGTGAGTGGTGGGGTGGGGAAGAGTGTGGGAAGGAAGGTGTTTTTCCCTTTTTTAAAAAAATAGCTTTACAATCCTGCAAAGCGAAATGTTAGCGCTTTTTTTTTTTTGGTACACTTCTGGAGACTGGGTGCACTGGGGAGGGTGGCGGGTGGGGGGAGGACAGTTCTGGGGCACCACCTGTCATTTCTGGTGACTCTGCATAGCAAATGCACATTGACGCATTGAATGCAAGGTATAAGGAGGATTCCGTGACTTCTGCCAGATGCGCCAGTTCGAAAGTCGCACACAAGCAGTTTACCTGGTGGTTTTTGTTTTTTTTTTTAAATAGACTGAACAGAAACATATTAGTCAGTGTGGATATATATGCATAATTATATATAAATATTGAACGAACATTTATTTATTGTAAAGCCTTTCAGAAGGACCTTGTGGTTTCAATGTGGTATTATGTCCAATCTCTCTCTCTCAGACGCAAACTCACTGCAGTAATATTTTCATATCACTTCCCCCCCCCCCCCCCCCCAAAAGAGGCTTAAACCCAGATCCAAACATACCCCAAACTTGAGACATTTTAGATCTGAGCTGCTGGGTCCAGACCCCTCTACTCTCTCAAAAAGTGGGACCGTTACATGCTGGATTTCATTTATTTTTTTTGTCACTATGGGGCCTGACTTCCCCCCCCTCCATTTAACCTGTGTATCCATCTGCATTGACCTGTCTGGGGTAACGCCATGCTTTCGTCAATGCCAGAGGACAATGAGGCTGTATATATGTATGGAGAGGGTGTGGAATTGACACTGAGTTTGGGGGTTGTGGATGGGACGCATCAAATAGGTTAGCTTGCACATGGCGTATATTTCCAAGCAATGTGTTTGACAATGGAGAGAGAGAGAGGCTGGGGCAATAAGGCAAACTAAACGATCACAGAGAGGTAAAAGGCAGAGTGAATGAACTACTGAGTGAAAGAGCTCTTCTGTGTATTATAATTCACGCACTGAAGCCTGGATGCTTTCTGTAAGTATTTAAAAACAAATTGTATTTATGTTAATTTGGATATATTACTTTCCTGTTCTATATTGTAAATAGTAAGGTTTATTCTCCTGTGGTTAAGCAAAACTATAAATAACTAAAATAGTAGTGAGGCACATGCATTAAATGTATAGGCAGTGTATAAAATATACTAACACCCTGAAATCAGGAGAACTTGCCTTTTTGACCTAAGGAGGTATAACGTACACACTTGTTTTGGTTTTGTTTTTTAAATTCCAGGGTTTTCCAATGTTTGCCTTATTTTTGGAAAATAAATGGATTGGGGGGGGGAAATTAGGTCTCTCCCTTATGGGAAGGTCCTATAGAACTTAATTAGGATGGATCCAGTAGTGTCTTTACAGAAATTCCCCTGAGCTCTAAAGAGAATTTAATAGTTCCTAACCCTTCTCTGTAGGTTTTTAAAATGATCTTCTGGAACTTACCAGAGAATTCTATCCCTGCTGCTCTATAGGGTAGCTCAAAAAAACCCTGTATAGGACATAAAGATAAGGTTTTTAGAGTAACCTCTAGAGAATCTATTGGCTTCATCCATATTAAGTTCTACTTTTCCGTAAGGGCTGGTTTTGCTGTCACTTATGCCAGTGTAACTCCATTGCAATGACTCAGTCTATAAAACTGGTATGAGAGCAGAATTGGACCCGGTCTCTGCCATGGTGCCATTTTACAAGGAAAGCAAAGCTTTAAGCTTTCTAAAATGGACTCTTGCAGCAGATATAACTGGAGAGGGATAGCAGGGTGTGTGTATGGGGAGCTTTCTGCTTTCCCCTCCCCTTCTCCCTTCCAGCGTTTAAGGGCTGGTTCTCCTTATCTGATCCAGCAAGACTTGGAAGGTAATGGAAGGGTGCAACCATTATTTATATAACTTTTATTTTAATTTTTTATCATAGAGAAGTTAGCCGATGGAAAAATTATTTTTTTGAGCAGTGCATTTAGCTATGTCGGAAATATAAAAATATTTTTGTAAACCAGGCAAACTGAAAACGTTTGTTTATCTTACATTTTTCTACTAAAAATAATAAAAAATCCCACACAAATAATTGTTGCACCCATCATCTCTTTAACAAGCTTCTGAACTCTGCGACTGACTTCCATATATTGGATGTGAAGTACAAAACAAATCCTAAATGTTACAGTACTGTTCTCTTCCGACTTCAGAGGCCTTACCTTGGCAAACTGAGTAGTATTTACCTTAAGGTGACGACCGTGTTTGTTCATCCGTTCCTTCCCTCAAACTGAAACGAGAATTTCTGATCCGAGGTGGAGGGAAGCAGAAGTTTACAGTAAAGATGCCCACACCTAAAATTTGTCAACTGAGCTAAGATCTGCGCTGTAGCGGGTGGAATATAATGAATCCAGGGCCAATACCACTGTGTCCCTGAAATGAATGAGGCTTTTGCCAGCTATTTTCAGTTGGAGCAGCAGAGGTGGCTATTATGAAAGCGGTGGGGAGGGGGGAAATGAAAAGACATGGAAGGGTTTAAACATCGAGGACCCAGTTCTGGCCTCCAACTTACACAGCTCTCACTAACTTCAGTTCAGTAGTTGCTGCATGCATGAGAGGCTGGAATTGTCCATTGCAGCTAAGGATGCTTGGCAGTCCTCCTTGGAGGCAAAGGATAGAGTCAGGGACCTGTTGTCAAAAGCCATGACCTACTGTAGTTGGCTCCTTTGGAAAGGAATGTGAAGGGGATGAGGGAGACTTAACACCTAGTATGTCCTCAGCTGGCCATCTACACGCCTTCCTGTAAGGAAATACCAGGAGGGTGGTGGCCTGCAAACTTACTCTTTCTTTTGCTCCACTTTTGCCATGGGCATTAGCCATTTCTCCACCTTTTTGCCAAGTATCAGAGTACAAGCTCGATGAGGGAAAAGATGTCTAAAGGGCCATTGCTTGGACGGGAGCATTTAGAGGGTATTGGTCACTTGCAAACACTACTTGTGAAATGTTCCCAGGAGAGTTGAGGCCTTTCTGTAGCCCACAGAACAGCTGCAGCCCAGGCAATGCCATTGCTAGCTTCTTTCCCTGCTTGTTCATCTCCAGCAGCTACATAGCTAATGCAGAAAGTCTCTTGTCTCCCTCACCCATTCAGTCCTTGGCTTATGCATGGTGGGTGGCTTTGTAAAATGGGCTTCACCTGTGAGGTGCTGAGTGCCTTTCTCTCCTACTGATGCCAGCAGGAGGTGGAGGATGCTCGGCACCTTGCAGGATCGATCCTGCAGATGTCGGTCCATGAGGACCTGGGCTGAGACAGTAATTTACTTCCATGTAAGTTACCAGATTGCTGAATGGGTGACTGGATTTAGAGTGCAATGTGGGGCTAGACTTGGACCAGGTCCATAATATGGAACACTTGAACCTCCAGTCACTTCTCAGCCTAACACTAAAGGTTAAAGCTGAAAGAGTATCTTTGATGGGAAGTTGTATAGCTCCAAAGCTTGTAGGCAAGAGTAGAATAGAAATGCAGACAGCACCTTAACTTGGGTGCCATTTTATGCTAGCTCTTACTTTAAAGGGATCATTCTTCCTCTAGATTTGTAAGCGGAAAACCTAAGTTAATGCAATACATGGAAATACAGTTCAATGGAATCCCCCCACCCTTTGTGTTCAAATGCACACGGCTCAATGTTTCCCGAGAGCCAAGCTTTGAAAAGTCACTTTCTTACCACGGCCCGCTCTCCCGTTGCGCATCCTGTATTCGTAGGGTTATGCTGGGCTGGCCTCCGTTCAATAATGAGTGTAGAAGCACTTAGTCTCAAGGAGTTGGAGAAATGCACTTAAACACAATTTGCAAAGAGGTATGAACAGGAAGCTGGGTTGCC